CGGGGGCCTGGGGTCCCGACTGGCCTGGAGGTGGGCCAGGGCAAGTGGCCGAAGGTTCCGGGGGGACCACACCCGAGAGGGGAACATGGCTTTGGGGGGGCTAGGTAGCCCGGATGATGGCGGAGTGGCCGCCTGAGAGGAGAGGATCATAGAGGGATCCTGTACGGATGATTTGGGGGCCCAGTGTGGGGCCGGTGACGATGTGAACACCATGATGCCATCTGCGAGGCTTGGGCTGCGGTATCAGGGGAGGTCGGAGCCGCAGAGTGCCCCCTGGCATCGGGGCATTAAAATGGGTAGCCTCCCGCTTAATTAACATCTTAATCGAACTAATTATCATCAAAGGCGTGGCGGGCGAGATAGGCAGGCGGTTGACCACAGAGACAGGGGGCGGGCCGTGGAACTCGGCCCCCGGGAGGCCCCCTGTCACACACTGGTTATGTCCATTGGAAAATGGTGAACTGAAGACAACCCCTACCTCAAGAATGCTGGTTGGCTAAGCCAGGCTTGGTAATTAAAATTATGAAGTTTGTAATTTTCCCCCCAAAAGTGTGTTCAACAATTTTGAGAAGAAAATTAAAAGGTGCAAGAGGAAACTTCCTTCAAAGTCAATAGAAGCTTTCACCCAAGGGCCTTTCAAGATTATTGCTTAATGACCGTCCAAATTGTGTGTGAGCCATAGCAAATAAGAATCAAAACACATCAAGAATATGGAAAGGGAAAAGACAAGAGTTACATCAGTAAACGTATGTGGAAAAACAAAAAGGAAGAGATACCAATTCTGTAGAACAGGTAGGATTAAAAAGAGAAACATGAAAGAGGTTTTGAGCTGAGATTTTAAATGTTGTATGAAAGAGGAAAAGGTAGAACACAAATGGAACTGACAAACACTGAACCACTCACAATCCTACCAAAGAATTGGTAGGAAAGAAGTTATTTAAGAGGTAGCATTAGAGTTGAGACAACAAAGTGATGCGAGGTGCTGAAATAGTAAGAAACACGATGTATACAAACTACAGCTACTACCAATGTCAGAACGGACAAGGACTCTTTTCATAACAAGTCTTTGCTTGCTTGGGCCACAGGATGAGAGCTAAAAAAAAGTATTTTAGATAGCTCAGCCAGAAAGCTTGAAAGATAATCTATTGTTCAGGGGAGCTGGGTATGTCAATGCCTTACCTTTAAATAGTCCAAACCAAGATTGGTGATCTTTGGATAATTAAAATTCACTTTTCAAACCCCAGAACTTTAAAAAAGTATTTGAGATTCTTGCAAAACATTTCAGTCTACATTTTCCCTACTCCTATTTAGAAATGAATTCAAATATACAAAAAACTAGGATTTTAATATGAGTTATTCATATTCTCTCTCAACAATTGTGTAAATCAACAAATTCTGTAAGAAAAACCTTACATTCCTATTATGTTACAGTTTAATATTTATCCTCAGAACCATTTCCAGAAAACCTTACCAGACATGAACTGTGTAATAAAGGATAATTCCATTTGGCTCCAGTGGTGGTTTCCATGACAACTTCACAATGACACCCGACAACTGTTTTACAGAAAGGGATTCTGGAGGAGAACTAGGAACTATAAAGTGAAAATACAGGACACAACATCTTGTTAAACAGCCAAGATCTATATGACATGGTTAAATGCAGTATCTTTAAATCAGATTTTAATTATTTGTGCTAGAAAGTGAATTATGGAACCACACAGGTACAGTATTCATATCAAGTGTTGCTACAGCCAGCTTCTTTTCCTTTTTCAGCCAGATGATAAAGGAAGATTTTGCATGGTGGTGTTAAAACATCTGTTTCTGTTATTCAATGGAAAAAATATTTCATGAGAAAACAGAGCAATGGGCATGTCACAGTGATTCCTCTACTGTTCAAGTACATTGTGATTTTTCTCCTTCCAATAAAAGCATGAACTTTATAGGTGTGAATGCATGTAAAATATAGCAAAAGAGTTCCCCTGAGGAGAAAAGGAGCTGGAAATAATTATATGAAGCACAAAAAGGTGGGAAAATTGATTCTCATGGCATTGAGAGATGATAAAAATGAGGGATACCGTGCAAGAGTTAAATCTATTCATTCTACCTAATAAAGAACATATCCATACCTTAAACATGTCACAGAAGAAATATACATGTATTTCAAATGAACAAGACAATTAACATTCATTTTAAGGTGAATACTAGGCAGCTGTCTAACCACTTAGCACTGAACTACCCTAGTTAAATGAAAATGTTATAACAAGTTTTGATTCTAATGCTGATGCAAATGTACCCATGTACGTGTTTAGTATTAATACTGCTTTCTACTAACTGAGGAAGTAAAAGATTTTATTTTCTTCACAGCTACCATACAGAAGTAGACACTACTGCAAAATAATGTTAACACACTTATTTTCCAAATTAAACAGAGCAGCATCATGTAGTAAAAATTCAGGTCATAGTTGTAGTCATGCATGGAAATTGAGAACATAAGCATAGCTGTTAGCAAATCTGTGAGGCATTTGGTCTGGTATTCTGAACACAGTGTACTTGTGAATATGATACATGTGGCATATTATAAACATTTTTATTTTTCAGTTGTTCTTCCTTTTTCTTTACTATGAAGGACAGCAGAAATGTCCTTTTTAACTACTTACTTTTGGTACCTTTTGAAAGAGATCTCAATTCTGTCTGAACAAAAGCTTATTAAATTCAGTGCATGCCTTTATTTACAGGAGGAAAAATGGTGACAGCTGTATTTAGTATTTTACTTGTTATATTATCCTCAGTGGCACTACAGTAAAAGGTCGAGTAAATAGTAAATGTCACCTCTCAGGCATGTGTGATTTCTCAGATACTGTCTTTAACTGATACAGCTCTTTATTTAGGCTGCATACACTCTACCAACATAGAGAATGAATATTTACTCTTTAAAAAAAAACACTTTTGATAAAAGATGGCATTATGTATAATGTTGGCAATGCACTATAGCAACATTTGTATTGAGCAATCTAATATGGACCCAACTCTGAAATCCTTTGGCCACTTTGTGAGTTTTGCAGAGACCTGTCACCACAGCAGGCTCTCCCCCAAGAAGCTCGGTTTAATGCAAGCCTGATGCCTCCAAGAAGCACAGATGCTCTGATACTATTATATCAAAGGTATTATGTACCCTGATAACATACCCTACTAGACTAGTTACAAGAGACAGTAGTGTACTAGGTCTATCCTTGGCCTCCTGCTCCATAATTAGTTCAGGAAACCTAGTGTTACTGATTAGGGCTTTTCAGCATGACCACAGTACAAATAAATATAAAATGTAAATACTTAGGAAGAGCCCAACAATCTCTGGAACACAAGAGATGAAGATGTTCCTGGTTCATATGCAAAGAGAATAAGGAAAGCACTGTTCCTAATTTAACTCTGCCTTATAGTATTTTAGGCAAAAATTACAAGATGTGGATAAGTCCAGAGGTGTAACTGGGCAGTTCTTTGCCATGGAGAGCAGCAATGCTCAGGCTAGCAGCAGCAACACAGCAGCTACTATTTTTGTGGCCTGCCCAAGTTGATGTTTAGGGTTGGTGCTCCAGTCTCCACCCCCCACTCCCCGCAACACCTTAATTACACCACTAGATAAGATGCTAATGAAAGGTAGCTACATTTCCAAATGCAGCACTCTTTTGGTGTGGCAAAATGTGTTCCAATAAGAGTAAAGATCCCTAACATCTAAATGGAAGGTATCCATTGAAAGCATCAAAAGTAAAAAAAAAAAAAAAAAATATACAAAGACTTTTGAAATAAACGTTAAGACCAGTCTAATAGAACTGTACAGTGATACTACTTACCATCTTCATCTGTCAGTATGTCATGTGGTGCACTATGAACCCCTTCACCGTTGGTAGTGCTTGCAGATATTTCTATTGTATATTTTGTATATTTCTTTAAACCTAAATAAAACAGAATTCAGTAAACTACATTATAAAAGTTACAGAGGTTTCTTTGACAGCCAAGCTTTAAAAAAAAAAAAATGAGAGAGTAAATTGGGATTCTCAGCCCATAAGTATATCCCTGCCTCACTTTAAAAAATATTGAATATATCTACAATTGCCTATTGACTTCAAATTTTGTATTCAAAATGACAAAAAAATTGAAGAATTTTCAGACCAAATATTTCTGACTCCTACAGCACTTGAATTAAATCTCAGCATTTAATATCTTCTAATATTTCAGAAGTCCAAAAGTTCTGATATAAAAATCTGCAAGTTCACATGGTGAAAAATCAATTTGAACTTTTTTTTAATCTATAATATAGATAATTGTGTTTGAAAACTAAATTCTAATCCCAACCCTTACATTCATACTTAATTTTATACCTATCTCTAGTCCCACTGAAGTTAATGGAACTAATTACATATGTACAGGATGAAAATCGTAAAATGCGCAAATAGCAGTGAGTCTACTGTCAGTGGTGGCCATCTTCTCAAAATGTGAGATGTAGTGACATCTTGTAAGTCATGAATATTTGCATCAAACTATCTCCAGATAGGTAAATGAACATGAGAACAAGTTTGATACAAGTTATACAACATGACCTATAAAAGCATAACCTAAGCTGGACACAATTAGGTTTCCGATTTTTACATACTGACCTGTAATATGTAGTGTCTGAAGGGTAGAATTTATGATTCTTTGCTCAGTTCCATTACTCTCCCTGAGGTATACAGTGTACTTCTGTATGATCCCATTGGGATCAGATGGTGGAAAAAATGACAATTCGATTTCCATAGATGAGATGTTTCTATAGGTGATATTTTCTGGGGCAGTATCAGGAACTGAAGGAAGAAAATGTATACTTATAAAAGATTTAAGTCAAAGTTTCATTCATTTATTAAGCATCTCCTCACAACACACAGCATATTGGAAATATTTGATCTTTTGTACTAAAAGCTATCATATTATTTTGAAAACAAGCTGAGCCGCAAGGTAAAAAAGACACAAGGAATATATTGATCATTTATAATGAGAGTTTATTTAGATTCATAGAATATTTTTTAACATCTCGGCATCACAGTTAATACCCTCTGACTCATTTTCTCCTACCTCATGATGCTGAATCCTCTTTCATACAGCTCAATACAACTCTTCATTGACAGGCTGCCAGTATTTTAGCAAAGGGCTTCTACCACATTTTCTCCTTTAGCCTTTGCTGAACCAAATGTACTTTTGATACAAATGTTCACAAAGGAGGAGGTACTAGGAAAGCTTTTATTTGATTTTTCCATTTAAGAACCCCCCCCGCCCCCAAACATACTTTTCCACAACTCCACAATTGGAGGGCTCCAATTGTGGGCTCCACAATTCAAAAAGGATATGGAGAAGCTTGAGAGAGTCCAGAGAAGAGCCACGTGCATGATCAGAGGTCAGGGAAGCAGACCCTACGATGACAGGCTGAGAGCCCTGGGGCTCTTTAGCCTGGAAAAGCGCAGGCTCAGGGGTGATCTGATGGCCACCTACAAGTTTATCAGGGGTGACCACCAGCATCTGGGGGAACGTTTGTTCACCAGAGCGCCCCAAGGGATGACGAGGTCGAATGGTCACAAACTACTTCAAGATCGTTTCAGGCTGGACATAAGGAAGAATTTCTTTATTGTCCGAGCCCCCAAGGTCTGGAACAGCCTGCCACCGGAGGTGGTTCAAGCGCCTTCATTGAACACGTTCAAGATGAAACTGGATGCTTATCTTGCTGGGATCCTATGACCCCAGCTGACTTCCTGTCCTTTGGGCAGGGGGCTGGACTCGATGATCTTCCGAGGTCCCTTCCAGCCCTAATGTCTATGAAATCTATGAAACTCATAACCAAGGAGGAGACATGGTCTCCTGGTAACTAAGCTTACATTATATTTTTATTTTGATCCTAAAAAAGTATTTCTACAATAATGTTAGTACAGTACAGTCTTCATACTGCAGTATCTTAAGTTATTTATTAAAGATTCTCACCAAGTTTAAGGCCCTGGTATTAAAGTCTCCATTGACTTTTAAGAACAAATGAGAGATTATGTTACTTACCTTTAGGTAAACAAATACAAACAGTTTTACACAGAGTATCGTGATTATCTTTGCCTATCCAAATGAACATAGCTCAAATGTTTCAAATGTTCATTTATAGAGTCAGTTTTTAAAATCCGTATTTATGCATAGTAGCCTATTTTTGTAGCTTTCCCTAGCTTCATGTTTCTTTTTCCTTTTTCTTTTCTTTTTTTTTTTTTAACTTCCTCAAGACAGAAAATGAACTTTCACATGATCTAGAGTCCATCTTATTTTCCTTTGCTTCCAGAATTCTAGAGCATTTAGTTCACTCTCACTGGCCCTCTGTAATAGATTCCTTCCAGTTAGGCTTTTGTCTCTCTACTCCAATGATGCTACCCTTATCGAGGTTATTAATGTCATATATATCGTCTTCCCATCCTTCCTCTCTGTTTATATCCCTAAGAGATCCTTTCAGTCCTTTCCGCAATGTCTCCCTTTGTAACCTTATTTCTTCCCATTCATTCGAACACCACCTATCAGCCAGTTAGTCAAAAAATACTACTCAGATCTCCTGACATCTCACCCTCAGTGGGATCCCAGTTTTTCTAGCTGCCTCTGCAACATCTGCTCTTCAACAACTACCTCAGCCTTTCCCCCTAAACCTTCTCTGGACTCTCTTCTCTGCACTGATAGAGAATAATTCCACTACCTTGACTGTCTCCCAGACTTTTCTTTTTCTTCTCCCTTCCTACACTTACCCTTTATGTAAAGTTTCTCACTACATTTTGTTTTTTTCTGTTTAATATGTTCAAAATCTACCTCTCCTTTGTAATCCCCAGTGATAAAGCATATTTTCCCTGTTGTGGGCAAATTCAAATTTTATCTAATGTAACCATCTCCTGTTCCAATTCATAGTAAGGCCCCTTCCAACCCCTAACATCTATGAATCTTTCCCTTCTCCAAAATGTTGCTAAGAAAATCATATTCCTGTTATTTCAGCCATGACATCACGTGTCTTTGAATTATTTTATTGGCTTCCTTTCTCTTATCGAAATCAAATTCAAGCTCCCCATCCTCAACAAAAAGCCTGGCTTTTTTAAATTCCTCCTTTCCCTTAAAAATGAGATGTTCTGTTGGAAGGCAGGAGGAATTTTCTGGAACTTAAGTAAGCCAATATAGGATGTAACACAGCCCCTTTCTTGCCCCTTACTAAGAACTCACATGGGTGGAGAAGGAAAAAATTTGGATCAAAATTAATGAAAAGAAAAAAACATATTGCCTTTAATAGAATACAGTGATTTTTCTATGCCTAAAGTGCCAACCAATCAAAACAAACCAACAACCAATTGTAAATAAATTATGGTATTTAAGAAAATTCTTACCAGTTTCAGGAGTTCTTACAGACAGTGGAAATGATGACTGATTTCCATGGCCCAGTCTAGTAAAAGCCCTTACAGAAATGTTGTAGGCAGTGTAAGGTTTCAGTCCACGTAATAAAATACTTGTATTTGAGGTATTTTTAATAAATAGATCATTGGCATAATTGTACAAAACTTCATAATGAGTTATGATCCCATTAGGTTGATCAGGTGGTGACCATCTCAAGTTTATTTCTGTTGCAGTTGCATCTAATAACTTTATATTCTGAGGTGGGGAGCCTGGTTCTGGAACAAAGAATACAAAAATTAAACATTTTTGAAAATTTTAACTGATTGCATATAGAAGTTCTCAAATATGCACATACTGTTTGGAAAATGTAGGTGTTGCTGCAGAGATACCCAGAGCTAAAGGAGATGAAAACCATCTGTTTTCTCACAAAGGTTTTACCTATAACTTAGGAGGCTTCTGCCAGAAGACAATGGTCACCATGGGGAATATGACAGAGTGCATGCACATTTTCACAGCTCCACTAGAGCAGCTGTGCTGGCAAGGGTGTCTGTGGCAGGGCACCTTTGGTACCTGCCACTTTAGGCCCACAACAGGCCGCAGAGCAGCCAGCAGGTGACTGTACTTCCAATCAGGAGTCACATGGCCAGCAGGAGGCCGCCTGATTGGGAAGAGGGCCCAGCTGCTAGAGATAAGAGGAGGTCCTGAGCAGTAGAGCCAGCAGTTGTGGCAAGCAGCTGGAGGGAGAACATTGCCCAGCTGGAGCTGCTGCTCACATAACATCATGGAGGTACAGGGAAGGAACTATTGGGATGGAGGAGTCTCCTGTTCCTGGGGAATGACCTAAAACTACACCCTGCTGGAGTTGGATGGTGTGGTGGGACTGCTTGTGGCAGGGGGGGCGCTTCAAAATGGATGGTGTGGTGGGACTGCTTGTGGCAGGGCAGCTTCTAGAAAATGCCACACCTGTGCCTCCCCACTGAAGGGCAAGTATGGGGCACCAGAAAGCCTCAGCCCCCTCTGCCTTGCACGTTACCCCATGGAGGGGAGACTAGGGAAGCACACCCTGAGAGAAAAGCACAGGGGCCCAAGCCCACTGAGTGGGGCCTGAGGCAGGACCCAGACCCTTTGTGTGGGGCCTAGAGAAGGGTCCAGGTTTATCCACAGACACCTGATGCCTGAGTGGGCCATAGGCTATGAGTGGGGTCCAGGCATATCTGCGGACACCTGCGACGCACAGGGTGTAAGCCCTCATAGTCCCAGTGTGGGGGCAGAGTAATGTCCAGCAGCCGTGTAGAGTAGGGCCTTATGGGGCCTGAAGGACTGCACATGAGCCAACCAGAGTAGGCAGAGTGGAGGCCTTAGTGAAAGGGTATGAGTGGAAGCCCTAGTGACAGGGCATGGGATACAGTATGAGGGAAGGTTCAGAGCCGTGTATAACATCCTAGGTATCAGGGCATAAAATGGGCAGCCTCCCACATTATTACATTTTCTTTTATACATCAAGGCATGGCAGAAAAGATGGTGCAGGATGCCCTAGACAGGTGGGCAAGCTGACTTTGTGACTGGCCTAGTGATGTCCCCCGCATCACAGTGTTAAGTTCATTGTAGGAGACCACAACTCCTGAAGGGATCCTGGCAGCCTGCGGAAGGTGCAAATCCATCTACATGTACTTTCTATTAGCTGCCGGGTGGCAACAGAAAGCTATTTCAGTCAGAAAGATTATTATTATGTCAGTAGAAAGAAGGGGTTCTACCACCACAGTATAGCTTTAAGTATGGACATACTTACTTTTGCTTAGTTTTAATAGGCAGAATTATGCAACATAGGCCAGGCCTAAATCTAACCAGTTTTTTACCCTAGCCCAATTTTCCCACAATATTACTGTAGTCAAAACTTTGATCATCTTACACCCCAAACACGGTAGCTTTTCTAGATTTTCTTTATTTAACTCTATGCAAACCCATCCAATATGAAGCCACAAAAGAAACCTCTGTACATCAAGACTTTCTTCAGATCCCTTCCTCAGCTTCCACATCCAATTCAAGCTATTTATTCATACGTTCACGGAGCTTAACTCCTGCCTGTTTCTGTATTCTTTTTTTTTTTTAGGCAACTCATCCTCTCATCACTAATCCCAAGAATCCTTACAACTAATCAGACTGCTGTACCTTCTTCCATACACGCATTTTTTCATGATCCACCCACCTTGCCTGCACCATCCTCTCCTTCTGCAAATCTTTTCTTTGCCCAAGCAAAAACACAACGAGTATTGCAAATACTTGCTTTTACATCTTGGAAAAATCTCAAAACATGCATTACTCAAAACAATATCTGTGTTGGCATATCTTCTGTCTTCTGCTAATCCATCTGGGGATTTGTTGCCATTCCTTCTTTTTAATGTTCTAAACTCAGTGCTGATCATGCTGTCAAATTACTATGGCCGATGCAACAGTCTCATCGATGTCAGTGGGATTTTGTGAAAGCTTAATGGTCTGATTGCATGAACAGGACCATAGATAGTTATCCTGATTCTTCTCCCACTTATACCAATTTTAATCTATTGCACTGGTTCTTAACCTTTTCAGGATCAGGGCACCTCTCTTCTTCCACCACTTTTTTGAAGGACTTAAATGGATATAAAAGTGCCTACCAGTTCCAATCTGGATTGCCACAGAATTTAGGCACAGTTAGGAACTATAATGCTTGACCTACATCCTAATCCTGAGGTATCTAAGGATTCCATGTGGTTTGTAATGGTTGGAGCTGTGTCAAACTAAATTACTTTTTGGAATGTAGGCAAATAAATTCCACCTGAGTCCTGTTTAGATATCTATGAGTTGGATCTATCCCTTCTGAATAACCAGCTTTTCTAGAAAAGAGATATTCATATCTAGTGCAGGCATTTTGAGCATACTATGATTGCTGACCCAAGGTCAGATGCTGCAAGTAGATTTTCAACTGTCATACTACTCCATAGCTAGACTTGCTTTATGTGTGACCTTAACATCACTGTACACAGAATTATACACAGATCTTAATGGTCATCAATCAGCAGTGAGCTCGATGGAAGTTTGGCCGAAACTCCGAATTGAACAGGCCCCATTCCCCACCCGCTCTCCCAGTCCCAGTCAATGGCTGCAACACCCAGCCCCAGTGTCCTGGCAAGTCCTGCACTCACTGGCTCCTGCCAGGTGGAGGGGCGATCCTCACTGCCCCACACTGCATGGGGAGGGGCTCTGCCATGAGCCCCCAGAGGCCCTGATGGCCACTGCAGCAGCTGGTGAGTGCTGGGCTTTTTTTTTTTTTTTTTTTTTTAAAGGGCTGGGGATTGGGGCTGGGTGGGGCCAGCCATTGATGGGGCTGGGAGAGTGGGCAGAGGATGGGGCTGGGGGGAGGGGGGGGCTCCCTATGGTCCCCTACTTACCAGCACGGAGCCCAGGTCCAGCTCCCTGCAACAGCAAGTGGGGACTGCCCAAATCTCAAAATCTTTTCCGAATTGATTTGGAGGCTTTGAATCAATTCAGACTTTTAATAAGTCTCCCGATTCAATTCGGATTCAGAGATTTGGCCACCGAATCGGACCGAATCTCCTCCAAATTGAATCAGCAACCAAAGCGTCGCACAGCCCTACCAATCATGCTTTTTAAGAACCAGGAGGGCCTAGCATTCTCAGAGACTCGAATCCTTCCTACCTCTCTTGTGCTGTGTTGGACTACCTGCTTCTAATGCCCTTATATAACAGCATTTAGAAACATTTACATAGATACTCCCTGCTATGATACAAAAGTCCTGAGGGAAAACAACTTCAAAGTAATGGGGAATAGACACAAAAATGGTCCTCTCCTTTTCACAACACTGGATGGCTATAGCTGTCCAAAGACGGAAAAGTTCTGAGGCAGCGTGCATGTGGCAGAGGGATGGATCTCTTGCAAACCTGGATGCTCCAGAACACCTTTAGAATTCTCTCCTGTGTCCTGAAAGAAATGATGCAGCTCTCCACCACCTCAGAACCTGAACTAAAAAGCTAGCCACATATATCTGATAGATGCACATGTGGTTAGTGGATTTATCTGTTAATGTTTTTAAACAATGAATAATAAACAACCAAATTCATAACATCTCTTTTACTGATGCTGGTAAAAAAGAAAATCCAAATAACTTGCTTAGTTTTATGTATGTCATTTCTGTGATGCACTTCAAAATGTGGCCATGTCTTACCCTCCTAAACTGAAGTCATAGTAAGCAATAGTGGATCTCTTGTTTCCTAGGCCCTATTCCACAAACATCACAGCTGCCATAACCCATAGTTTCCAGCTAAGGTACAGGGGATAGAAAACTCCCCTGAGAAGAGTGGTAACCCTTAGGTAGTATGAATGTGCCTCCCAAAAATGTCCAAAGCAAAGGAAGAATAAACTGCTGTTTGGGGCCATCCATATTGCTATCTGGCCAATTGAACATCCCAGCCCCACCCAGCCCCAATGTCCTTAAAAGGTGGCTCCATATTTTAGACTGTGATCCTAACTTGTGTGCTGGATTATTTGTACATGCACCAGTACTCTAGATAGGCACCTGGTTCAACAAAGAAATGTTAGTGCAAAAATACGCTTACCATCTTCTGGTGTTCTTACAAAAATATCATTCTCTTCAGACAGAGCACTCTCTCCCACAGTAGTGGATGCTGCTACTCTCATTTTATAATTTGTGTACTTTTCCAAACCTAAGAAGGAAAAGGAAAATCTTGAGTCTGTGATCTACACCATCTTTTCTTTTCTGTACATTTATTTCAGCATTAAAATGTGCATGTTTTAATATCTTAATCATTATAACATACATATTTTAGTGAGCAAACAGGAGCAGCAAAGAGGGCAATTCACAAGCAGTTCACTGGGAAAAAGAGAAAGAAGTGAAAGAGGAAGAGGAGCCAGGCATAAGGCATCAGATCCTGTTTCTTGAAGGTAAGTGAGCTAGAGCTGTCTGCGTGTTTGGCTTGCTAAGTTTTTGTTTGGTGTGCTATGTGTTTGGGTATGTGCTCTAAGTAGCTGGGAGTGCTACTAGCTGGGTGACTGTGGCTTGTGTCTGATGAAATCCCTAACAAGGGGGCAGAGTCATTCCAGGCCCAGAAGGGTATAGAGGAGACTCTCCAACAACCAGAGAGTGAGTGAACAGGGGCAGCAAATAGGGCAGTTTGCAAGCAGTTCACAGGTCAGTTCATCACCCTACTCTTTGAAGGGCAACCTTTAAAGTAAGTTCTTTCCTTAAATAAGAGTAACTAACCTGCATATATTTAGCATAAGTAGCTAAAACTCAGCAGTTAGACCAATACTCAAGCCCCTTGTTTAACCAGAGTTCAGAGTCAGTGAAGAGTCCACTAGGGAGTTTGTCCAGAAATTCTCTCATCTTCCTTCACTATAGATTTGGTGAAAGGAAGCAGTTTAGCAGGGACAGATCAGCGGAGCAGATCAATAGTAACTACAGGACTCTGGGTGCACAGGTGAAGAAGACAGGGGCTCAAGCAGTGTTCTTCTTGATCCTTCCAGTCAAAGGGAAAAGCCTGCGTAGGAATGGATGCATCCTACAGATCAATGCATGACTGCACAGATGATGTTGCCAGCTGGCCTTTGGCTTCTTCGAACATGGGATGTTGTTCCAAGAAGGATTGCTAGAAAGCGATAAGATCCACCTGACAAGAAGAGGGAAGAACATCTTCACAGACAAGATTGCTAACCTAGTGAGGAGGACTTGAAACTATATTCACGAGGGAAAGTAGAAACTTGAGCAAACGATTTGGGAGAAGTATGAGTATTGCTCAGTCTTGCAGGGATGAAATCAGAAAAGCCAAAGCTCAATTGCTGTTGCAGCTAGCAAGGAGTGTGAAGAATAACTACAAGTATGTCACTAACAAAAAGATGATTAGGGAGAGTTTGGGTTCCTTACTAAATGGGGGAGGCAACTTATTGACAGATGATGTGGAAAAGGCTGAAGTATGTAATGCCTGTTTTACGTCAGCTTTCACAGGCAAAGTCAGCTCCCAGACTACTGCACCTGGCAACAAAGTTTGGGGAGGAGGTGAATGGTGAAAGAACAGGTTAGGGACTATTTAGAAAAACTGAACATATAAAAGTCCATGGTGCTGAACACAATGCACCCAGAGGTGCTGAGAGAGTTGGCTTATGTAAGTGTAGAGCCCCTGTCCACTTTCTTTAAAAACTCATGGCAATTGGAAAGTGTCCTGGACAACTGGAAAAGAGCAAATATAGTGCCCTTCTTGGGAAGGAGGAGGATCCAGGGAATTATGGACCAGTCAGTCTCACCTCAGTCCCTTGGATGAATGGACTGTAAGGTGGATAGAAAACTGGCTGGATCGTCAGGCTCAAAGGATAGTAATCAATAGCTTGCTGTCTAGCTGGAAGCCAGTATCATGTGGAGTGTTCCAGAGGCTGGTCCTGGAGCTGTTTTTTTCCAATATCTTCATCAACCATCTGGAAGATAGGATGAGGTGCACCCTCACCAAGTTTGCCAATGACACCAGGGTGGGAGGAGTAGCAGATATACTGGAGGATATGGCTAGGATTCAGAGACCTCAACAAATGGAGGACTGGACCAAAAGAAATCTCATAAGGACAAGAACAAAGTCTACAGAAAAAAGTATGGACATATTGGAGAGAGTCCAGTGGAAGGCATCGAAAGTGGTTAGAGGGCTGGGGCACATGACTTGAGGGAAGGCTGAGGGAACTGGGCTTATTTAGTGTTTATTTAGGACTTAATTGTAGCCTTCAACTACCTGAAGGGTGGTCACAAAGAGGATGGAGCTAGACTGCTCTTAGTGGTGGGAGATGAGATGATACAACAAGGAGCAACGGTCTCAAGCTGCAGCCAGGGAAGTTTAGGTTAGATATTAGGAAAACATTTTTTGCCAGGAAGGTAGTAAAGTGGCTTCCCAGAGAGGTTGTGGAGTCTCCATCTTTAGAGGTTTTTAAGACCTAGGTAGCCTTGGCTTTGATGCTGTAGTTGGGGGTTGTCCTCCTTTAAGGGGTTGGTCCTGCTTTGCTCCTGAGGTCCCTTACAACCCTAATTTTCTATAATTCTATCTTATTTCCTTCTTCATGCTAAACAGTCAGTTAATTTTAGGAGAAGATGACTAGTCTTTGTTCAGTACTTTAGCAATTAATCCACCTGGAATCCTGCATGAGTGAGTATTTGTGTGTGCGTGCATACATATGCCTACATAAGCATATACATGTTGTATAAAATTATGGTACTATGAGAATTGAAAACTGGTGTTTGAAAAACCACTATTTTTATTGCTAAAAGAAAAGGTAATCTTAAAAGCAGAGAAAATTATAATTTTATAATACACAGTGGAAAAAAGTAAAAGAACTTGCACTAAAGAAACGTTAACTCAGATTGTCATCCTTACACATGAAAAGCCAAAACAGTTTATTGCTATGGGAAAAAAAATCCATGGGAAAACTACTGAATAAATTATCAATCATCGTTCTGAAACAGCTGGAGTGAATAGGATTTATTTTACCTTAAAGGCCACCCTGAAACCTGTTAAATTGATTTGGATTAACAGAAGACTTCAGCTTTCTATGAGAAAGTTATTTCTGGTCCTGTGCCCTCCTCTCCCATCAAACTCCCTTCAGGTCCTTGACCTCCTCTGGAGCCATATAGCCAAGAAGATTTCTAGCCATGCCAGACCCTGAGCCGAGAACTTTTATTACCTTTTCCAGATAATTTCCAAGAACCCAAACAAGGATACAACAGGTCTTTTCCACCAGCACCACTCACTCCTCCCCTAACATGTCACTATACCCTTCCCAAACCTCCATGGGGTTAGTAGCAAGAAGAGGACAATGCTTCGAAAGTGCTGCCCAAGGTCCCCTTTCACGTAGAGTTCAGGAAAGAAAAACCTAGTCTGCCTACACTGTAAATACTTATACCTTTTAAAATTAGTGATGGTAAAACTGGCACGGCACAGCTGTAATTTATTTTATGAAGCTACACTGTACCTGTTATAAATAAGCTGTTGTTTGTGGTTATCAACTGGAATGTTCTCTTTGTATCCAATTCCATTGCATAAACTGTATAATGAGTGATTTTTCCATTTGGATTTGCTGGAGGATCCCAATATAGCAAAACAGATGATGAGCTAATATTTTTATAATGTATATTTTGTACTGAGCTGGGCACTAAAGAAACAAAGACAAAAAATAAAATTGCATGTAGGAGCAATAACAATGATAACAAAAACAAGAGGAAAAGGAGGAATCATTTACAGCAAATTATTTCAGAGTTATAAACATGTACCTTGTTCACGTGTTCTAACTGAGAGAACAGCTGGTGGCCCTTCTCCAATCATAGTGAAAGCAGACACACTGATTGTGTAGTTTGTGAAAGGCAGAAGGCCTTTTATAACATATGACAGCTCTTCAGCTGAAATATCAATGGCATATTCGTTATCTGTCATTTTAAAAGGGAATAAAAATCTTTGTTATCCATTTGTAAAACTAAAGGATTTTTTGCAAGCTGAAATGTCCACGCAATATTAATACAGATATTTTCACTTCACTTTCAGGCCAACCTAGAAGGTAGATGTTGCATTGTTTTGCAGGGACAGAGGAATGTCCTAACCCTTCCAATATGCATAGTCATGAAAAAAAATTGGACTGGAAGGATCTCAGAAGGATATCTGGTTCAACCCCATGTTCAAGGCATGATCATCCCTGTCTAAACCATCTCATCCAAATGACTGTCTAAATCTGCTCTTAAAAATTGCCAGGGATGGAAATTCCACAATCTTTCTAATCCGTTTGAGTGCTCATAGTTAAGACATTTTTTTCCTAATATTCCAACCTATGTTTTTCTATTGTAATTTGAGACTAATGTCTTGTCCTGTTATTTGGGATATCAGAGGTTTCTACCCTCCATTATACTGGAGAGGCAGTGTTTAACTGAGTTTAAAATCACAGTTTGACCCTCTAGCTGCTGTTTAAATCTCTTACTGTAAAAAAAAATGTGGAGAAGCATTTTAAGCCTGTATTTAATGGGTCATAAATATCCATACTTACTAAAGAAACAATGTTCCATTGATAATTTAGAACAAGTGTACACACTAATGACATCACCATGTCACGGGGTCATCTCCACCTGTTTGTCACCCATACAGCAGAGTTATAACTTTTTGACCTATTTACCTTCAGTGACATTTGAAAACCTATTAGTCAAAAGGCTCAGAGAAATCAAGGTCTGTGAAGGGCCTGGAGATATGTTAATCCCCTACAATCACACCTGCTTTGGCAACTGTAATAACTGATTGTCTATGCAGCTTGGCTGATGGCTCAAGGGTGCTACTTTCTCTAGAAGGAAGGTCAGCTGGGTGACAAGGGGCTAGCTCCTGCCTGTGTGGCATTCTCATTTGCTTCAGAAGGTTATTTGGTAGTAAAAAAAATCCGACTCCAGCAAATCACCCATTGATAATTTAGTTGAACTCTGTGCTAAAGATCATATTTGTGACAGTGACCGGGACTTTTTGAACATGGAGGAAGGTAAAAAAAAAAAAATCTTAAAATTTACCAGAAGCTGAATGTAATTCTTCAGCTCCATCCATATTGGGCAAATTATCATTAGACAAACTCATAAATATTCCTGGGGAATCTGTTTGTATTGTGGAGAACATCTCGCCTGAGCCTTCATATAATCCAGTGGCTGTTTCTATTGTATTCCAAGTGAAAGACTGGATATTTTCATTTATTATGTCTGGATCCATAGAATCAATCAAATACTAAAAGTAAAGAATACAAAAATAACTTAGAAACCATATGTGACACCATTAATTTGCTTTTCTCATTAGAATGCTTATTACTATATACTTAAAATATTATAAATGAATAGAATATAATAGTATACGAGACAAATTAGACTAATATATATTGTAGATGGAGCTCATTATGTTGGTCACAAATACAGCTGCCTGACACTGTCCATTAAAAGAAGCTCTCTCAGATGCCTGTAACTTTGCTCAACTAACTTCTCAAACAAATTTTCCATGTTTCCAAATGGAAATGTTCTATGATGTCTGAGACCAGCTGAGTTCTTTCGCTAGTTTTAGAAAGTTTCAGCCCAAATAACTCAACAGTTTCTGAACACATAATTACAGAATCATATGTTGCTTTGTGTTGTTAAAAATATCTTACAAATATTTCACAGAAAAGTTCTAGTGCCCCCATGTCTTTGAGTAAGATCCTGAAATTTAAGAGGGAATTACCCTCGTGTCACAGACATCCCATGCTCAGTAGTGACTTGTTAGAGTTTGGAAGAAAATTCTCTGATGATTCCATCTATACTAAGTATGTTCAAGCCCAAGGCTGCAAAAATGGCAATTAGGCTTTGAACTGAGAGGAGGGAGAATCTATCCTGTTATCTCCATGTTCTCCCTATCGAATATGGAGAATGGGTTACAGATTGGACTACGTGGGAATGAAAAGGAGCCAGAAGATTAAAAGAAACAGAGGGGAGTACAATAGGAGCCAGTAGGGTAGCTAGGAGTAGGGGAGGGAAGGAAAGAGGACTGGAGTATATTTATGTGCAAAGTGGGCAGCAGGAAGAAGGCAGGGGATATGGGCATGGATAGGCACAAAAAACAAAGGGACAAGAACTGGGAAATGCAAAGAAGGATAGGAGAAGACTATCAGAACCCAGTGGGTGAATGGTAGAGAGCAGTAGAGGGGTGGGAGTGAGATATGGAGTTAAATAGGGATGGGCAAAGGGACAACACGATACAATCTATATCCACCAGAAACCATTCTCTCATCCAGAACCTGGAACTGAACCTATGAATCCCAAGTCTCTACATCAGTCATTGTCAGCTGTGGCCAAGTCTTCACTGTCAAAAGGTATGTATTTACAGCAAGATAACTAGCATGTATTGACTAACAAGATCCTGTACTGGTGAGGTACAGGTATCCTTACAAGATACTTGGTGAGGTCAAGCACAGGCAGAGATAAACAGCACAGGACTTTGCAGTAATCCATATGAGTCACCCAGCTGAAAAAATATACTTTGTGGCAGCAAAGAAACAGGTTTTGTCTAATTCCTCTCTTGTACTTGGTCCTGAAAAGATAACGGCTACTAATGCTGTCAGTTACTACTTTAGATAAAAAGGTAATAAATCTAAAGGTCCAAATACTGATAAAGTTTATAGTCAGGATCAATATCTTTCCATATAATCCAATGTTTGCCTTTATTTTCTGTTGTTGGGTTTGTTTTTTCAATTTGGAAATCACATCCAATACATCATAATAAAATAATGCTTAGGAGTCAATGCTACATTAGGAACTGATAAAATTACAATAGTCTTTGCAACCTTAATTTGGCTCCTAGTATCTACGATGTATGGTACAATCTTTAATTACATGAACACATACAATTTTTTTCCCCAAAGCACCCTTCCCAAGTTTAATAAATGAGCAGTTACTTATTTTAATTCTATTTTGTGTGTGGTTCCAGGCACAGCATTCAATTTGAAAACAAACTGTTCTCAACTCTCATCAAATTAGACTATACTCCCTGTTTATGCAGAACATCTTGGTTAGGGACAGACGTTCAAAAAGCCGGAGCCTGAACCGATTCAACCTTTGATTCAACTGATTCAACCTTAGTCTAACCTGGCTAGGCTGAACCGGTTCAAAACCAGACAAACATGCTCTCTTCACTGAGGCAATGTGGGCACATGTCTGCAGTTGCTCAGGCCAGGAGCCGGGGGGTGCTAGAGCGGCCCTCGGCTGCAGGGAAGCTGTGCTGGGGGGGTGCGTGGCCCACCCAGGTTGAACTGGCCAGAGAGGGGTTTAATCCCCCCCCCCCCCCGTGCCACCAGCAGGGACTGGAGCTGGGTCGGCCCGGCACTCACCCCTCACTTCCTGCCCAGAATAGGCCCCCTGGCTGTCCCCTCCATTGAAGGCCGGAGGAAAAACCCCATCCCTGCCTGGCCGTGCCTCCTCCCTGATGCTGCAGCGGGAGGCTGGTGGCTGTGCTGCGGGGCTGGCAGAGCTGCAGCCAGCTGCGTGCGGCAGCACCAGGGTCCCAAGCAGGCCAGGGCCCTGCAAGCCCTCCTGGCTCGAGGGGGCCTATTCAGCCTCTGGCACCAGATCACGGTTTGCCTGGCTGGGCTGCAGCTGCCGGGGCCAGTGGCTGAATAAGCCCCTCTGGCCAGGAGGGAGCTGGCCCCAACACACAACTGTGGAGGCTAGAGCCCAGCCTGGCAAACTGCGCTCTGGTGCCAGTGGCTGAATAAGCCCCCTCCTGCCAGGAAAGAACTTGCCCCAAGCACCGGAGCTGCTGCAGCATCTCCCTGCTTGGGCCAAGCCCCTCCCGGCCAGCGACTGAATAAGCCCTTCCGGCCAGGAGGGGCTTGCCCTGAGCAGGGAGCAGCTGCGGCAGCTCCAATGCTTGGGGCAAACTGTAAACCGTGCTCCAGTGCCAGCGGCTGAATAACCCCCCTCCAGCTGTGTGGGGCTTGCCCGGAGCACAGAACAGTGGCAGGGGCCCGGGCCACGCCCCCCCGGCACGGGCCACCGGTAGTAACCATGATGGCTTCTTGGAGCGAGCCCCTTCCCAGCGGGGGCTGCGCTGTGGAGCCTTGTGGGGGACTTACAGGGCTCTGGCCTGCTTGGGACCCCTGTGCTGCCACACAGCTGGCTGCAGCTCTGCCAGCCCCACAGCACAGCCCCTCACTGGGAAGGGGCTCATGCTCCCCTGCAGTATGACAGGGGCTGCTACCCCCAATAAGAGCGCTGCCGCCAGCCTCCCACTGCAGAAGAATTAAACCCCTCTCTGGCCAGACCTTTGCTCCTGCCTGTCCTTGCTGAGGCTGGGGAGCTGAGGGGCAGGGCCAGCTTGGCTGGGCTGGGGCAGATAGCCCCACCCAGCCAAGAGAGCATGCCGGGATGCTGAGGGTCTCTGATTTACCTAAAACCATCAAACGGCCAAGGACAGACGCTGCATAAACCGGTTTGAGCCAAATCATTTAAGTCTGATACTACATTCAACCAGATTCATCTCAAACCGGTTTCAAAATGGTTGAAACTTTATATGCACTGAATGTCTGTCCTGTTACAGGTTTAAACCAGTTTCTGATCACTTAAACTGGTTTATGTGTAATGTCTGTCGCTGGTCCTATTGACCATAAATGGAGTACCATGAACAAAAAAAAAGAGTAGAATCTTTCAGTCAAAAATCTGCTGTGATAATTTTTTCAAGTCTAGGACATGTAACAATCTATCTAGAAATATGGTATATTGTCTAATACTGTCTAATCCTATATTCACTTTGGATGCTCCAAGCCCCAATTGAGAAGTCAATGGACTTTTCACTGGACTTCTCATATTCAGATCTTTTTGCTTCCTTTGACTAAAGTTCATCTACAGTATAGCATGTAATAAACAGTTCAATATATTAATAAGATAACATTTTATTTTCTTATTTGCTAAATTATTATGACTGCAAATTAACTTCACTGAAAATGGAAAATTAACTTTTATTGTTCTGAAAGCGAGTCAAGATTTTAAAACTATTTAACATTCATCAATAGCTTACTAATTGTATTATTTTCATGAAAGGCTTAACCCTGAAACATTACTTCATTTTCTTCAGTGAAGCAATATAATCCACAGACTTCCCATGCAACCTTTCACAAATCATGAAATAATAGAGCTGGTTGAGAAGCCAGCAAACAAGTTCATGATTTTCTTTCTAAATTATATGGGTTTTCCAATAATAATAATAATAATAATAATAATAATAATAATAATAATAATAATAAACCAATTCATGCAGTTCCTATTGCATGCTGACCCATCCTCAAAAAATTGTGAAATTAATTTTTTTCATTCTCTCAATAAAAAAATGAAAAATGTTAAGAAAAATTTCATCAAAAAACCTAAGTTCAGTTAATTTTGATCACCTCCATTTTATATTTCTATGCCTGTTTCCTATCAGTAAAATGGACTTAATAAAAATATATTTCTGTAAATTTTTAAGAGCATGAATGCATATTACATATTTGTACAATGCCTAACAATAATTTTATTCTCAGCAGCAGCCTCAAAAGATATTACTGTAAAATATATAATAATTGAAACTATTTATTCATGTTCAGATTACATGTTCATTTTCAAAACTATACTCCTTCATGACAATCACTATCCCTAAAAATAACTTGTAACTAATACATCTGGAGTTGGCAATTAAAATACCAATTTAAGAATCCTATTAAAAACAATTCTAAAAAACTATGATAATATATAAAAATTTAAGTTTTTGTTTACAACAATGTCATTAAACATAGATTATAGATGACGGAATCTAGGCCAGATTTATTAGAAGTTGAGAAAATGGCTAATATGAATATATGCAAAGCAAGAAGTTGTGTGGTCCTTTACCGGACCAATTGCATAGTTGTAATAAATTTAGAAAGACAAGCTTTCAAGTGCTAAGCACTCTTCTTTGGGTCTGAAGAAAAAAAATATGAATACACTCGCCTAAATTTACATGAAGGATTCTTTACAATATTACTAGTAATAAAAGCAAAATGATATAAATGTCCAAATGGGCAAACCTATCCTTTACAAAATATTTGCTCATCTGTAAAGCCAAACCAGATTAGTGATGTGTGTATGGAGGTGGATTCTAAAAACATTTTACATCAGCTGAATCTAGAAAGGGTGAAAACCTGCTTAAACCTCAATTAACTATAGAAATGAAGAAGAAAAATCAATGCAAAAGTCATGACAATTAATCAGCGGTAACTAATTTCACAATTATAAAGATGAGGGCATTCACAAGAACAAAACAATGCAAATAAAAACAACAAAACAAAAAATAAAGTACCTTAATTTTTCCTGTGAGAATTGTATTTTCTAAAGGCTCTCCTGTATTCTGAACTATGACTGTAACCCTATATTGAGTAATAATTCCATTTGGTTGCTGTGGTTTTCTCCAAACAATTTTTGTGTGTGTGGCTTCTATCTCTACTAGTTGTAAATCAGATACAGCACTTGGAACTAAAACAAAAGGAAAAGCGTATATTAAATGCTATCTCCAATGGTGAATTTATTTAAAGACTGTCAGTCATTTTCTAAATGTTACTATTAACTTTCTCAGCCTACTAAGCAAGACAAAGCAAGATTTTAATCAGATTTGAAACTGAGTTGTTTCAAAGCAATCAGCAAGTTACTTTAGATATTTTTTTTTTCTAATACTGACTTAATCACATTTTAAAAACATGCAGATAGCTATAGAGTACTGAGTTCTATAATATGACTGTACACACATGGCCAGGCAGTGAACTAGTGTAAATCAGTGTAGCGCCACTAAAGTTATGGGAACTATACTGATTTATACCACTTTAAAATCTGGTGCAGAGTGTAAAAATTTGAAAAAAGGTATTATTTTTTGATAATTTTTCCAGAAGCAACAATGTAAAAGAAATCTGACAAATAAAAAAAAACATAGATCAGAGACAGAATAAGATGAGAGCTCGATAAAACCCCAGCGTTTTCAGTTTGCATGAAATTTTATTCTGTTTTATTTTGTTTTAAACCAAAAAATGTCCAACTTCCCATGAAATGTATTTTATTTTAAAGACTATTTTAGTTCCTGAAGAATGGAATATGTTTCATGAACCTGGCATGTGCTCAGTGAAATTGACATTCTTTTTACATTAACAAAAATGTCAGTTCTATTGAGCAGCAGGAGAAGAAATAGCCCCTCCCCACAGTCACTGTATACCACTGGCTCCCCACAGTCCCAGCCACCACTGGCTAGGCTTGCCATGTTGACCTTCTCTTGGGCTCTTTGGGAAACGTAGGGTGGGCACAGGGCAGGGTCCATGGTGACGGCAGGGAGTTGAGGGCATGTGCCTAGCAGCCAGTCAGGCGTGGCCTGGGTGCTCCATAGAAGGAAGGATTGGGCCCCTCGGCTGCTGCTGATGCCGAACTCTGATCCTTCTTTCTATGGAGCACTCTGTCCCTGCTGCCTGGTGTGAGATTCCCTGCCCCTGACTGCCTGCATCTGTGCTGCCAGGTCTGTGACAGTCTGGAGCAATGTGACAGGAGGCCACCCCAGGGCCGGGTCTCACGTTGGCCTGCCCACCTGTCTAGAACAATCTGCCCTGTCTCGCCTACCATAACTTCATGTAATAACTTGATATAAGTGGGAGGCTGCCCATTTTACTGCCCCGATGCCAGGGGGCGCTATACACATGGCTCTGACCTCCCTTTACCGTGTCCCATGCCTCGCAGTGGCATCATAAGTTCTTAATGGCTCTGGCCCCACACTGGGCCCCATAACATTCAAGTCAGCACCCCAACTAGATCACTCCTAATCAGGCGGTTACTCCACCCTCATTCTGGACTGTCAAGCTCTCTGAACCCTTCCCCCCCTTACTAGTAGGCCCTCTCTGGGACCTTTGGCCACACAGGCCCTGGCCCCGGCTCTAGGCCACTCAGAACCCCAGGAACCCTGGCTCTGGGCGCCCTTTGCGGTGGGCACCCTGGCCCTTTTGACCCTTCTGGTCCTGGCCCCAGCATTAACCAGCTGGGCGTCCCTCTGGTCAGGTCTCTGAGCAACTAGCCTACTCCATCTCAAATAGGTCTTCCTTCTTGGGCCCCTCCAAACACAGGCCATACACCTCTTCTGTCCCAGGTCTCTGATAACAATGTCTGGACTCCCTGCTTGTTCCTACTCTGGGTCACTCTCTGCCCCCTCCCTTGGGCTTCTCTCTCTGCCCCTTTACCTGGGCCACCAGGGTCTTCTCGCATTTTGGTTTGTCCTGAACCTTCCTCTCTGCAGGCTACAGGCACTCAGCCCAGGGGGCTCAGGTGTCCGGAGACATGCCTGCCCTTCCCCTGCCTGCTCACTAAATAACCCACCAGATGGTCGGGGCTGGGGTTATCAGGCGCCTTTCTCCGGGGAGGTAACTGTTCTGGCATTTCTGGGAGACTTTCCCACCATAGACAGCCCTGCCAGACTGCCCTTCCCCAGCAGGGTGCAGTTTTTGATCTTACCCAGGACCAGGAGCCTCCTACTATCTCCACAGCTCCTGCTCTTACCTCCAAAGTATTCCTGAGCAACTGCTCAGCTGGCTGTTGTCTTTCTGGCTGCCTGCAGCAGACTGCTGCTTCTGTCCTGTGGCCCTAGCCTTAAAATGGCTGCCTCATCAGGGCTGTCTTGCACCTGCTGGCTGCTCCCAGCCCTTGAAGTAGTAGGTACCAAACGTGCTCTGCCACAGGCAACTAAGCACTAGCACATCTCCCTGTGACTGGGGGCTAGTGGGGATGACCTAACATGAATGGATAGGGGATCTGGTACAGAAGTTTGATAGACTGGTCTAACCTAAACCAATGAAGTCTGATACCTCATCAGTCCAGGTCTATGTTAGATGGGGTTTCACCATTTTAAAACCAGACTATGTGCCCTGAACTTCTGATTTGTTATGGGTGTAAACTGGTTTTTGGTCACTTATACCAGTTTATATTCAATGCCTGTATCTGGCCTTGGAGAGGGGGAGATTAGCTTGGAAGGGACAATAAGGGGGGGAAGGCAGGATCTCCTGCATGTGAGGCAGGGGAGTGGGAGTAGGTAGGAATGATGTTACTGAATACAGATGGGAGGGAATTGTTTTTACTAAAGGTGGGCTGGGAAGCAAGTTTGGGTGAAACAGGGGGTTGACATTCTCCTTGGTCAGAGGTAGAGAAGTAGGAGCTTTGGGGAGTGGGTGGTTTGCTGCTGAATATGTTTTTTTTCTCTGGGCTCAGGGAGAGGGAGAGTTTGTTCATTCTTATTTTAATATTTTACTTTGTTTTTATAGTTCTGTTTCTTTCATTGTAAATCACCTTGAGCCTTTTTGGGAAATGTGGCATATACATTGAATAAATACCTGTCTTTAATTACTTTTTTAAGCTGGCTTTTATCTCTACCAAATTCTGCGATGGATGGGAGGTCGGACAGAAGTGGGGGCTTACGCACTCTGAAACAGGACTGTTTAATGTGACCACTGTAGCTCAATTAAGAACTCTAAATTACTGTATAAAAATGAGAACTTTTTCCTGGAGAGCCTGAGAAGTTGATTTTAGAAACCCCTCTTTTACCAAATAAACACATATTTAGATGAACCACATAAACAATATGTTTATATTCTCATCCACGCAGATGGCCTGAGAAATGTTCTGACAGTCAAAGACCCAGTATTTCCCCTATATTTAAAACAAGACATAGGGCATTTTTATACATGCAAGCCACGAACTTTGAAATGCTTCAAAGAGCTGCAACGCTTGCAGTTGTGTAAGTGGCAAAATGTGCATTAGCGCTGAGAAAATGGTGGTGCCACGTTTTTGAACTAAAACACAATGAAGGTGCTTTAGTTCAAAAACGCACCACTGCCATTTTCTGTCTGCTGACGTGCATTTTGCCGCTTATACAACTGCATGCAGCACAGCGTGGTGCGCATCAACTTGCGTGTGGCGCAGACTCAATTAATCGAAGTGGCAGATCTCTGGCGTGTCACAGGACAAAAATGTAAGTGTATAAATGCCCATAGATGTAAGAATTAAAGACACTAGCAGGGAGACAGATATGCAGGCAGTGAGATTTTCTTACATTTCAACGTTTTTACATTGAAAAGGCATCTCCTATAGTGCTGTATAAAACTATAAACAAGAGGCAATTACTAGACTGGCAACAGAGCTGTACTGCTACCCAACATGTCCACAGGTAGTGGATAGAAGAATGACCTCCAGAGAAAATTAGTTGCAAAATAAGGAGCAGCTCTCAATCGCTGACCAAGCAGTGGCAGCACCACCAGGACATGGTGGAGACAGCAGATACAATGCTTTCCCTCCTGAAAACTGACATACATCCATGTATCCCTTGATAGTGCTGTGCCAAGGTGTCACCACTATAATAAGCCTGCCCAGCCCCTAGTCATAGGTCTACAAGTCCTCAACAGCAGAACAGGTAGAGGAAGACATGAGAATCTCAACAGCTGAAAAAGTGGACAACGGTTGTAGAGATACAAGATCTCCAATTGTCTTGGCCTCCTTGCCATTGGATTGAGGTCCCATTCTGTCAAGAACCATGTGGAAGCGAATGTGCAGAAGCTTCTCCATGATAAAAGAAATCACACACAGGCAGCTTCCATGAAACTGGATTTTCCAGCACATTTTTTAGGCTATTTGGCAACTAGCTAGTGATGATGGGACCAGGACTGTGAGGTCTGGAAGCTCCTAGTCATGAATTGGTATGAAGGTAGCAGTTACAAAAAGGTCATCTGGCACTTCGACAAGGCAGGAGTGTGATTTAGCAGCTGTAACTTCAAGATCCACTCTGCTTACCACACATGGGGAGGGGGCTAGAAAAGGTCCCTAAACATAGCCTCTCTGCCTTCTTCCTGAATGGATAAACATGTCCAGTGGGATCACCTTTACTGTGGTTGAAATCAACGAAGACATAAAACCAATTTCAGAACCTGGAGCATCAGGACCCTCATGGACAATCCTAATAGTGAACGCCTAGAGTGCTGCACCACAATTGTGACTTGAAAAGTCAGGCAACAACATTGACATAGATGCACTGGGCAAGACCCAGAGAGCAGCAGATGAGCAACTCCAAGAACATAGAGGTGGCTATACCTTCGTCTGGAAGGGTAAACAGGAAAAAGAATACCAGCTTCAGAGTTAGTTTTGCCATCAAGAATGAATAATAAACCAACTCAATGAGTTCCCTATCAGAATTAATGAGCACCTCATGACAACTGACAGACAGCAAATATGCCATTGTCATCAGTGCGTATGCCCTGACTCTTGACACCGCCAATGAAACCAAGGAGGAAATCTAAGCCAGCCTTGACCAAATCCTTTCTGATGTTCTGGAAGGAGAAAGACTAAGTTTTCTAGGCGTTTCAAAGCCAGAATCAAAAGGGACTCAAACTTCTGGAACAGAAACACCAGCAAGGAAGAAGTAGGAAAGGTCAAGTTCAGCCGCATCCTCCTCCTAACCAAATACAGGGAACAAATTCTCCATCATCAACACTTTGGTTCTGCTAGAAAAAACAAGCACATGACATCATGGCAACACACATAATCTAAGCATTGGTACCTGATTGATTAAGTCATTGGTCACGCCTGGGATCTCAAGGATGTCTGCATTACCCAAGCTATGTTAGGAGCTGATGACAGCTGGACGCTCACTGACTCATCTGTTTGGTTATGTCACTCAAACTGGCTCCTAAGCAATGGCTGCAGCAGAAGTAATGATGATGGAAAATCAGCAATGAAGGACTCAAGGACCCAATGAAGCAAGATCTCTTCCACCAGCGTTCAACAAAAAAACTGGCGAATTCCAATCAACAACAATGGGAAAATGTTGACAGCATTTGGGGTGCCTTCAATTTCATTGTCATCAGTACCTGTGAAGAGACACACAGATTCTGTACCAGGAAACACCAAAGACTGGTTTCATGAGACTGACCAGGAGAGTCAAGAGTTGATCAACTGCAAGCACAAGGCCTTTTGTGTTTAGCGAATGACATCAACTCCAAGCAAAAGAAATCAAATAACCAACAAACCAAGGCAGAGGTTCAAAGGAGCACCTGCAATATGAAGAACAGATGGTGGGAAAACAAGGTTAAGGGGATTCAACATCTCACTGACATGCACAATGTGTGTGTTTTTTTCAGTGCCACCATAGCCATCTATGGTCTGACTACTCAGGGACCAACCCCCTTCAAGTCTCCTCCATCCTTAGATCTGATCAAGGAAAGGAGAGCCATCAATGCCCACTAGAAGGAGTACTTTGAAACTCTTCTCAGTCAAGACTTTGTTGCTGATGAGAGTGCTCTCAACTCCATCCTGCAATACCCAGTCAGACACTATTTTGGGATTCTTCCAACCCTTGATGAGGTGAGGGAAGCCATCAAAGCAGATGAAGAATGACAAGGCATCTGAAGCTGATGGAATCCCTGCTGAAATCTTCAAGCAGAGGGGAGAGGAGCTCATATCCCAGGTCCTGCCCTCATTTTAAGGATTTGGAATACTGAGGAAATCCCAGTTGACTTCAGGGACATCATGATGGTGACAATCTTCAAGAAAGGAGATAAGGTCGACTGAAAGTAATAGAGGGATCACCTTTCTGTCCACCACAGGAAAGACCATTGCAAGAACCCTCCTGAACTGTCTCCTTCCACTTGCTGAAGAGTTCTTCCCAGAATCTCAGTGTGGCTTTAGGGCATCAAGATGCACATCTGATGTCAGCTTGCCAGCTGCAAGAAAAATGCTGGGAACAACATAAACCTCTCTACATGGCCTTCTTTGACCTCACAAGACCCTTCAACTCCATCAACTAAGAAGCACTGTGGAGGATCCTTCTTAAGTACAGATGCCCACCAAAATTTATCACCATTCTTTGAATGCTCCATGATGGTATGCAAGCAGCTGTTCTTAACACCAGAAATTGCACAGATCTTTTTGAGGTTAAGATGGGAGTTAAGCAAGGCTGCATCATTGCTCCAATATTCTTCTTGATTTTCTTTACCACAATGCAACACACTTCCAGTCAGAGTGGAGTTAAATTACCAAAATGTTTAATCTCAGCTGACTCCAAGCCAAAACCAAGACCACCCTGATCTCAATCATTGAGCTCCAGTACACTGATGATGCTACAGTCTGTGCTCACTTGGAAACAGACTTTCAAGCAATTGTTGATGTTTTTACTGAGGCATGCAGGAAAATGGGACCGACTCTTAACATTCAGAAGACTAAGGTCCTTCATCAACAAGCTCTTAATAAGCAGTCCCCAGCTCCAGCAATCCAGATTCATGGTGAGAGTCTGAAGAACGCTGAGTATTCCCGTACCTCAGAAGCCATCTCTCACAGAAGGCTGACATTGATGAAGAAATCCAGCAGTGCCTCAAATGTGCACATGCAGCCTTTGGATGCCTGAGGAAATGGGTGTTCAAAGATGGTGACATCAGATCCAAAAACAAGCTCATGGTTTATCAAGAAGTTGTAATCCCCACCTTATTGTACGGAGCTGAGATGTGGACAATGTACAGAAGACACCTCAAGTCAATGGAGAAGTACCATCAATGCTGTCTGTAGAAGATCCTTCGAATTCTGTGGGAAGACAGATGCACCAATATTAGCGTCCTCTTGCAAGCAAACACCATAAGCATCGAGGCAAAGATCATCCAACATCAACTTCACTGGCTGGCCACATCGTCTGGAATTGTCTGACTTCAGACTTCTGAAGCAAGTTTTATTCTCCCCACTCAGTCAAGGCGTATGTTCAAGAAGAGGGCAGAGAAAGTACTTCAAGGACATCCTTACGACCAACTTACAAAAATGTAACATCAACATCAATGCGTGGGACACTATCACCCAGGACCACCTCAAATGGATGAAGAGTCTTCTGCAAGGATGTCAGTACTCTGAAACCTTATGACGACACAGGAGATGAAAAAACAGAAACGGCAGAAATAGCGTGTCATGGACCAAATGAAGAATCCAGAGCCACCCACCACACAGAGAAACACATACCCAAGTTGTAACAGAATCTGTCAATCCTGCATCAGGCTCATCAGCCCACATTTGTACCCATAGACAGGACAATCATGGAAGACAATCATCCTCGACTGCGAGGGATTGCCAAAGAAGATTAGACTGCAATTCACTCTAATGAGATCTGAAGTCATCATAGGAAGGTGATGTTGGACCCTATATTCAGAGAGGATATATTCTTGAGGGAAGAGTAAGTTAGATAGCTTAAGTTACAATTTGTGATTATATTTATTCTTTGAAGAAATAAGAGGAAAATTGATCTCTCCATTAGTGGAAAACTTTAAATACTGAGCTAAAGAACAAAAAACAGTTTGGCTGCTAACAACTTACAGCTTGTCTTATACTCCCCAGGCATATCTGCACTACTTGCACAATGAATAAAGGCTTAAATCAAATAGAAATCCTGTGTTTCACTTTACTACTGTATATTGCTTCATTTTATCCATTTTTTTAGCTCTGCTGACTGTCCTTCCTGCCCCGCAAATGGCAGCAAAGTACCCTTCACATCTGTCTTCTGTTTGAATTTTGTTTAAACTGATAGAATGTATAATCTTATTGCATGCTTTTAGCAAAAAATGTAAACTGTATGTAGTTATTATTATATCATATAACATTTTATCGTCCATTTTATTGTACTGTTTTAGTAAAAGCTGTAAATAACTACTACTACAATACCTGACATGGAGCCAGTTTTGAACTTATTAAAAATTCATCAAACCTGAGATATTTTAAATGAAACAATTAATAATTTTAGCTTAAAAAACCAAAATTTTCATCTAATTCCAGAAATGTTTGTTTATCCCATTACATGCTGCCATCTAATGGCCAATAATTGAGTTGTTCCTTTAACTGAATTGCCTTACTCTTAAGTAATTGCTTTCCTTCAGCCAAAAAACATATTAGTTAAACAATCTTTGAAAGCTTCCAAATGAAGATAAATTTGATCATTTTTAATTTTTGTGTATGCCTGAGAAAGTAGAAGGGGAAAATATCTACAGCATTTTCCTGTATATTCTGGGTTGTTTTTTGTTTTTATCGGGGGTGGGGGGAGAGTTCCTAACATGCCTAGACTAAGGAGGAAGTGAACTAGAAACACACCTGTTTTTCATATACAGTTTTCAGAAATGGCTTTGAAGGGAAAACTGAAACTAATCATCACATGTAGCAAGAAAATAACTTTTACTAACTTTATTTCTATAACCCCACCTACCTCCAGCTGGAGTGAAAATTGTAAGATTAGCCTTAGGCCCCACACCAGCACTTGTCTCAGCACCAACATACACATCATATGTTGTAAATGGTATTAGGTTATTAAATATAAACTTGAGATCTTTTGTGCTGTTATCCACAATACGACCTAAATTGAAAAGGAAAAGAAATATCAGTATAAATATTAAAACAGTATTTCATTTGTGCATTGAAAGTAGTTATTTTTTGTCACAATGAAACAAAATCAAATAATGATAAAAATGTTCATTTACATTAAGATTTCATTAGTGATGGGTCCCATACTAAGTTATATTGCATACCTTTGATAAAATATTTAAATACTATTTGCAGTACACATTACACTTCTGAAACACAGAGAATGTACTTCTTGTTAATTTCTTTTCTAATATTGCACTGTCTGCCCAGTGTTGATAAGAGGCTCAAAGAACCAATCTCCCAGAGGTGCATATGAGTGGGAGATGGCTGGTGGAACTATTAGGTCAGAGGAAGAAAAAAAGACCTTAAATATACACAATATTGAGGTACCCATTATGTGTACCCTCACTGCCTTGAATGGGACAATACAAGAGGAATCAGAGGTGAGTTAAATCCAAGAGGACCAACCCTAAACATAGGTTATATGGCTATTAACTGGACCCAAATAAACCTCTGATTTTTGGAATAGAAGAATTCAATGCAATAAAAAAGTTTCCACTTGAAAACGTATCCCTTTGTTCTCCTTGATTTAAGTGACAACTTAACATACTAGCTCTCTAAAAAAGTGGAAGAGGTAAGCTTGTGTGTGTGTCTGTTTCAGGAATATCCAGCAGCAATGGTCCTCTGTGTATAAAAATGTCCTTTTCACTGAAAAACTAACAGAGAAACACAATAATCCAATATTATTTGAACAACCTGTTTATAACAAGCTCCAAGCTTTAACAATCCCAGGAGCAGGAACTAAAAATGCCATTATTCTGAGGCAGCACATTTATTAACCCTATTATGGCAAACACCATATTTTAATTAATTTGTCTCCCGGTCTCATAGAGATTTGTTATAATGAGGTTTTACTGTACTATCAAGCTAATTTTGAAACAGAAAAATTTCACTCCTGAATAACCAGTTTAAGAATGAAAGTAATTTATTGTAATAAAATTGTTACAGCAATAAGAAAGGAAACATAACATTGATTCAGACTCACCAGAAGGTCCATATAGCTCAACTCTGTAGCTAAATTTTCCTGTTACTATGGTTGGTGGGTCCCAAGACACTGAAAAGGATTTTGCTGTAACATTGCCTTTAGCAAAATTTTGTGGTGCATCTTCTGGAACTAGAACAAAATTGAAAACATATATATACACACAGTCGCATATAATTTGGATTAGGGTTTCCTATTATCACCATATAATTAATCTTATATAAAAATAGTCAAGCCAGATCAGAAAGAGAGAAATTAAAAACATGTACATTGAAAAAATGTATCTTGGATTAATATTATTTTTAATTCCACTTCCTTTTATTAAAAAAATGGGGGGAGGGTGGATGATGGTAAATTATCCAGCAAAAGAGATCGCAATATGCAAAAAACCCTGGAAGAGAGAAGTACTAGGGACCTCATTATTGCTGTTAATTTATACATGGATGGTGCTCAAATACTACTGAGGTGGGAACAACATGAAACCATAGAAAGGTAGATGTTTCATGAAAGGTATGTAAGATCTTTATTTTATAGAGCAGGTCTCTTAATATTTATTGATGATCTCAATTGTATAAAAACCCAAACCAGAAAAGATCTAAGCACATGAAAAAAAACAACTTTCCTTTGCTTTTAATGGGAATTAAAGACATGGCATTACTAGATTTTCTAAAGCATAAATTGCTAATAGATTTTGAGTAACAAAGTACTTCCAGAAATATCTTTTATTGGACCAATTGTATAGTTGGGAGAGATGTTAGACAATCCAGGAATGGGAAGGGTTAGGAATATTTCTCTCCCAGCATTTAAAACAATTCCCAAACCTCACCCACTCACTATCAGCAGGAAACTTCCCACTGACCAACAGACAGCAAGTGGAAAGAACCTGCCTAAACAGCAAGTGCAATATCTGTCAACACATCTCTACCATCACCACAATCAACACACCCCGTAGTGCAAACTATGGATCCAATAAATCACATTTAGTGGTAGACTTATGTATCATCCGATGCAGCAAATGACCTCACTTAAACTGTAGGATAAACTAAGCAACCATTATGCTCCAGAATCAACTTTCCAAAAAATGATAAAGAGCAAAAACCTGCAATCAACAACGGAAGGACCTTTTACACAGAACAAGCACTCCATTTCTGAATTCAGTCTTTGTACTCTACGGAAACCTACAAAATACATTCAGAAAATGGGCTGGGAACCAAAACTCATAGTTTTACCAGAGCCTAAAAACCATACGCTAAACACAGAAAATGGTTTTATGGCTCATTATAGTTTACCAGATCTTTCCGTAGTCCTCAAGTTACAACAACCTTCTTCCCTTTTGAATGACTTTATTCTTTTACATAATTAAGTTCTCTCTTTCAACTGCCCAGTGCTCATTTTGTAGTTTCTTCCAATAACTTATCTTTGCTCCCACAGGTTTACAGCTCCCTCCTCCTTTAAGTGACTACTTTCATTTATGTAGTGGATTTAAAGAAAAGTCATTGTTTTATCTGGATAAAAAATTAGTAAGTGGAAGCAATAGCAGAAGCCTTAGCAATGTTCACAGGGATGTGAACTGGGATGTGCAACTGGGATTATGGATACATGATGGGATAGTTTACGTGACTGGAGCACAATCATGCCTGAGTACAGCTTGTTCAGGAAGGACAGGCAGAGGAAAAACATAGGAAGCATTGCCCTATACATAAAGGTGAAGTATACTTTTTCTAAGATGCAGTACTAAGTACAAGATAGACCTGTTGAAAGCATCTGGATAAAGGTCAGAGGGGGAAGCAGTAGTGGCAGATGTCATGGTGGCCATCTGTTACAGGCCACTAAACCAAGAGGAAGCAGCAGCAGATAAAGGTCTTCTTTAAACAACTGGCAGAAGCTTCCAAATCTCAGGACTTGGTTCTCACAGGGGCTTTAATTACTGAGACACTGGCAATTGCCATGCTGCAGCAGACTCAATTAATCGAGTCTGCTCTGACACGCTGGAATTCCAGCACATCGGAGCAGCCTCTGTGCTCTGCTTCCAAAATGACCAAAACTGGTTTAAGATAAACCTGGTTGGATGTAGTATTAGACTGAACTGACTTAGGTCAAACCAGTTTATGGAACTTCTATCCCAGACCACCTCCTGGTTCAAGTTAACTCACAGTCCCCCAGAATCCCAGGATGCTTTGCAACCCTGGGCTGTGCTGCCTGCTCTAGCAGAGCAGGATTGGCCCTGCACCTCTGCTCCCTAGCCAGAGCATTATCACTGCTTCAATTGGCTTAGAAGAGGACAGGGTGGGGCAGATGGGACCCAGCTCTGAACCCCAGATGGGGTCTGCCTGTGGGGGGTGGAAGCATCCCCTCCCAGGCTTTTCCCCTACTCCCTGCTTGAGCAGAGTGCAGGCAGGTGGGGGGGGGGAGCATAGCCAGGCCCTGGCCCAGCCAGCACACTGAGGTGGTGGTGGGGGAACCCCAGCTGGGGTATACCTTGCCATGGGGAGGCAACCCTCCCAGACTTTTCTCCCCACTCTCCACTTTAGTGGAGAGTAGAGTGCAGCCAGGCCTACAGGCTGAAGTAGAGGGTAGGAAGGGGATTTATACCCCCTCCCTGGCCCACATGAAACCACAGCCAGGGTCTGCCAGTGGGGAGCAGCCCTTCCCAAGATTCCCCCACTACTCCTCACTCAGGAGGAGGGCATGGGCAGGCCCCGGTCTGGGGCCAGTACACTGAGGTGGAGGGGGGGGCCCTTAAACCGCTCGAGTGGGGAGTGGGGGGACAGGCTGCTTCCCCCCACTCCAGTAGACCCCAGCTGAGGGTACTCTGTGCCCAAAACCTCCACTAACACCTCTTCCAACTATGTTGTAATAGGTTTAGAGTGTTGTAGTCTTGATAGTCCAGGAAATATACAAGAAGCAAGGACTTTTTGGTGGCATCTTTTCATAGTTTCATAGTAGTTTCATAGTAGCTAGGGTCAGGAGGGACCTGAACAGATCATCTAGCCTGACCCCCTGCCACAGGCAGGAGTGAATGCTGGGTTCACAAGACCCCAGACAGGTGATCATCCAACCTCCTCTTGAATTTGCCCAAGGTAGGGGCGAGGACCATTTCCCTGGGAAGTTAGTTCCAGATTTTGGCCACCCTAACTGTAAAATATTGCCTTCTGATCTCTAACCTAAACCTATTCTCCATCAGCTTATTACCACTGTTCCTCATCACCCCAGGTGGTGCTGGGAAGAAAAGGGCTCTACCTATTTGCTGATGATCTCCCCTGATGAGTTTTGTAGGTATCCACCAGGTTCCCCCTCAGCCTCCTCCTGCTGAGGCTGGACAGGTTCAGGTCCTTCAGTCTCTCCTCGTAGGGCCTGTCCTGCTGCCCTCTCACCAAGCGGGTGGCCCTCCTCTGAACCCTCTCCAGGCTGGCCACATCCCTTTTAAAGTGCGGCGCCCAGAACTGGACGCAGTGCTCCAACTGCAGCCTGACCAATGTTGCATAGAGGGGGAGGATCACCTCTCTGGACTGGCTTGAGATGCACCTTTGGATGCATGACAAGGTATGGCTGATCTTGCTGGCTGCAGTCTGGCATTGGCAGCTCATGTTCATCTTGGAGTCAATAATGACTCCAAGATCCCTTTCCGCCTCTGTGCTTTCAAAAAGGA